ACTACGTCCCCTTCTACGGGGACAAGTCTATACATAATTAAATCGATTGGAAAAAAAAGCGACGCGCCGATAGATTCCAAGCACAATGCATAATATAAAAACGTTAAATTACAATGGGTAGATATTAGTATTACCTGTGCGTAATACGGTATACCTATGTGTAAAGTGATGGGATTGAGGAGTAAATGACGATGGTGGTGATCTTTAAAAGTTTAAGCTTCAGTCATCACACGTGCACGAATTGGCCGTAAAAGTGTACATATATATAGTTGTACACATGAGTACATGACTATTAAAAATTTAATATTATAATACGGTCGTTGTGAACACTCGAATACAGAAATATAAACAAAATATATTGTTAAAACTATATACCTAAAACAAAACATAATAATAACAACTAAATAGTATATACAGGCGGTTATAGAATATTTCTTATAACTAGGGAGTTGCTACTTTAACAAACACACACGCATACTATTTGTGTAAACGTTTTACACATTTATCTGTGGCCCGCTACACGTTCTCTATAATATAATATAGTGTGTGTGTGTGGTGTGAGGGGGTTGTAAGTAATAAGGTCTCCAAAAAAAGAGTGGACGGTTTCTAAATAAAAATATATTGCAGCATTAGACGTGCGTGCGTGTTCTCGCAAATTTTTGTACTTGGGTGTTTCACATGATATGAAATCGGACCAGCCCCTGTTTTAATGTGCAGTATGACAAATAATATAATATTATGTGCAGTACGAAAATGCAAATGTTTATAATTGTAGGTACGAGTTTTAAAAGTGATGCAGCTCATGTAATGCGTTCAAATGTTTGATAATTTTTTTTTACAACTTTTATTACGCCTACGCAAACTTTGAGCTTGACATCAGCGTGTGCAGTATTATAGGTACGATTTTTGTTCCAAACAGGGGCTGGACATTGCTATATACCTACAATTATCATTAGGTACTTATATTAATCATAGTCTCGTGACTATAGTGAGGTTAGTCGCTCTTAACGTACTATAAGTTGGGGTTTTTATTGGTGGGCCGGGGGGAGTGTGGTTGTGCGGTTGCCGCGAGAACACGTAGAACGGTAATGCTATCGTATGTAATGTAAAACTATCGAACGAAAATTTCCGTAAAAACTACCTACATCATAATAATTCATGATGCTATAATATAATATATTATGTTTACATAAGTGTTAGAACACATATGACGCCAATGCGGGCAGAATCAATATGCTGTGCACACAACACACAAACACTACCGATCAAAAAACTTATACTGATAAATAATAATTTGAAACGAAATATTATGTCAATATACTGTTAATACACTGAGGACGACGACCGTGCGAAATTGTATAGTAATATGTGATCGCTCCGAAACTGGGATGACGATAGGTCTGGATAGCGCGAGGGGAGCGGGACATTAGACTGCAGTAAACACGTATAAACGCACATGAAACTGATGCCGAGAGGATAAATCTAATGTATACGGTTATACATGGATGTATTGATGCATTAGGATTTAGGACATTAACCTAATGTCATTAGGTTTACTCTAACGAGCGTGTGCTTACTGCTTTTCCATCGTGGGGGTAGGTACCTCAGTGCCTACTTATTATACACCTAGCACACAATACGTGTCTCGTAAATAGCGCATATGTAATGCATAGAAACTCAAGTTACCACAACTTATCAAACTACTCAAAAAGAGATACCAATGGTTTCTAACAGGGACTCAAAAGCGAGATGGACCACAGAATTAAATGAATTACTACAAAATACGGAATATTATATACATACATGGTAACCTACGTAATAAAAATCATGAGCTGAATTAGATACTTCTCGCAGAATGTTATGCTAAAACTTAAAAGTCAAAGTGTTATAATATAATATGGTTTAAAATGCCTGTCACTGGTGACCTGGCGGATATTGTTGAAAATATCAGTTATACATGAATCAGAATAGGACGGATTTTGTTATTATTCAAATTGTTGTTACTTGTTAGTTGTTATTGTTACCTACTGAAAATGAGGGCAAATGTCAATAGTTTATAGAAAAATTCGTTTCAACGCGATTGTAAGCTGTTGCAAATACCAAAGACAAACAGTCTTAATACAGATTTTTACATGATTTTATAATTGATATAATTAATTATAAACAAAAATTTATTGGTGTCATGAAGTTTAGTTTTCTGGAGAAATATCCATTAAATTATAATCACAATATTATACTACTTAACATGTTTCTATTGTACACATTCAGTATAGCATTGTGAAGCAAAATTACACACACATTATTATAAGTAAATTTGACCTAAATTTTAATGATTTTGATAAGGAAACCATTAAAACCTAAACAAGAGACAATTTTAAATAATTAATGGGTTTGAAATTTGAATTACCATCGAAAGTACATTTAAGATACAAAATTATAAATTTATCTATAAGCAGAGAACAACAAAAAAAATATATATATTATTATTTTTGGTTTGAAGCCACTGCCTCCAATACAATAATATAACATTAGTACTAATAATTAAATAACATACAATTTATAATTCACATTTCATTAACATCTAATTCATTATGCTAAGTTAAAATCGAATAATTGGAACAATGTTTTTGAGAATAGTTATAAATTGGAAAATGAAGCATGAGATTCATTTAAGCTTTCGGGACAATGAGACACTGATTTGTAAAAACGCATTATTATTAAATTACTTAAAAAAAAAAAATAATAATAATAGTATTTAAATATTAAAATACTATTTCAAAATATTTAAAGTTGAATAATTAAATGGTGAAATATATGATATTCAAGTGTTGAATAAAACATATAATTAAATATAACAAAAGTTCATAATTAATGTGTGACCAAGAGAGAATAATAAAATGTAAAAATGTATGTGCAGTTTGAAAGTATTCATGTGAGAAAATAAGGGAAGACTTAGTGGTCAGATAGCAGCCAATTTAAAAAAAATAGTTAATAATGTGACATAGTATAGTGTAAAAGTATAGTCAACAGTAAATAAAGTAATTTTTAATAAAAACAAATTCTAATTAATCGAGCATCAAGTTCAACAGGACAATTATGAATGAATAATAAAAGGAGGCTGTTTGATAATTTATAAATATAATCTATTATTACTTTAAAAGACGACACAGCCGTTTGATGAAAAAAAAAAAAATATACAAATAATTCAATTTTGTGACATTACCAGAAATGCATTCAGAGATATCCATAATTTCAGAATTTTTATAGTTTAAAAATTGAGGGTTTTTTTTCAAAAGTATTGAAAAAAATATTGTGCGTCAATATTGTAATGAAAAACATAAGGAACGTAAATCTACTAGAACACGCAATAAAGCGCCATAATTTCTGAAATAAGGACATGTCTAAATACATTTTTGGACTTAATTACAATTAGATATATAATAAGCAATTAAATTACATACTACATATACAAATTATTTTAATAAAATATTTATACCCATTGCTAAACACAAAACATTTAAGGTTTAAATATTAATAATGACTCGAAAGCTATCACAAATGTTTGACATTATAGGTATTCTATATAGTAAATATAGGTATTTTAAAAATAGCTCAGTAACTTAAAATACAGGCACCAACATCTCAACTATTTAATTAAGAATATAATTTATAATATTATTAGTTTCACAAATTTTAAATTTTAATAAACAAATACTTATTAATTACAATTAATCATTAATATATAAATTATAAATGCATAAATATTTAATATTCTCTCATATTTTATATTATTAATTATTATATTAATGATTAACTTTGTTCAAATACTTCTCCGCCTTACAAGTTAAAATATTATTAAGTTATATGAACATTAATGTTAATAATATTTGAATAAATTTACAAAATGTCTACATAAAATTATTACTTTTCAATTATTATTCCTATTTTATTTTTTATTTTTTACAAAAGTCATAGAATGATGTTAAAAATAAATGTCCAACCAAATATTGTAACTTTCATTGCTTTTATACCAGTTATTAATAAAATAAAAAATATTTTTTGGATTTTTTTTTATATTTAATATTATAACCTAAGTAGGTATAATAAAAATTTAAGTTGTATAATATAAGAATATTGGAATTAAGTAAATGTTATATGAATATTTTTTATTGAAATCTATGTTCAAATCAATGTTATTAAAATTAAATGCAAATAAAGTTAAATAGTTATCTAAAATATTACAATTTATTTGTGCACATGGAAGACTATATAAAATGATGCTGAGTACAGAGTATGACTAATTATTTCTATACAAAAAGATTATTCAAAGACGGAGAAGTACAATTGAAAAAATCTGCATTTGTTTTGTTTTTTTTTGTTTTAACAATTGTATATCATATAATATAAGGAAGTAAATAATAACAGAGAAACAATATAAAGTATTAACAAATTATTTACAATAACTAATAAATTGATATACTAATATTTTATAGGGTAGTAAAGTCAAGAATGTGACCGAGTGATGGCCCCGAAACACAACAAAATATATTGATCTAGTCTCTAGTTTACTCAATGTAGGCACAATACAAATTTCTGTCTATTTAACAATAACTATTTTGAAGGTAAATGCCCTAAAATTTACAAAATAACATGTGGTGATATATATGTTGTTTCAATTACAATTGTGCAACAAATTATTGGTTGAAAAATTCTCATAAAATCAAATCATACAAATATTTTTAATAATATATTCTTATTTTTAACAGTCTATAGCAAATACAATTGATGGAGGTTGATGTATTTAATAAAGTTTAATAAAATATTGATGATCAACTAACTGATACAGTAAAAGTAAATAAATAAATAAATAAAATTCACTAAATAAACAAACATTAACAAACTACGATGTCTAATTTGAGATTAGAGGATCTAACAATGATAATAACAATCTTAGCTTGGAAAATTTTAAAAATATTATATCGAGATAATTAATTTACACATCAGTCTATTCGAGGAATTTTATAGGGTGGTTCATTACGGTACCAGACTACTTGACCAAGTATTGTCAGATCTATCATAACCTGAAGTGTACCACACATCCAGAATTGTAGAGGCGCTTTTCGACTTACAAAGTAACATGTCTTAAATGCATCTCCAGTTGTCCAAAGTAATACCATTGTAACACTATTAAACAAAACTTGAAGTTATTTCTGAGATTCTTGGCCATTAACAAATATATATGATATATATAAAATGTGTAATATAATATTATTTGGTTTTAATAATTACACCTCTAGAAGAATAATATACCTATTATAATTTATAAATATTCTAAATTAATAAAATTGAAGACGGGAATTAGTTTAATTGGCTATTTGAAATGAGATTCAGTATTTCTAATTTTAATAGAATTCAAAACTAAAATACATTAAATTACCTGACTAAAGTCGACCATGAAGATCAAAACTAAGGAACTTCCATATCGGTTAATGAAAATTGTGTAAGTACATATCGGTCTGTATGAAATAAGATTCAAAAAACCTGGAGATAAATTGCATTACACAAACAGGAGTTTATTTTTATAGTTAATAATTATGTTATTCAAAATATTATTGCACTATCGTCTTGATTACAATAAAAAAAAAAATACATTAAAACAGTCAACAGTATACAGTGTATAATAATATATAATACTGTAATGGAAATTATTGTAATCAATTTATCTTTTAGAATAATCAAACAAAAATAATGAATTTTTTTGTGATAATACTATTTGATTATCAAAACTATTTTTAAGACACATTATTTACAATGCCCAAAATACAGATTAAATAATATACTATTAATGTGTAATGTAATTTATAATGTGATATGTGACTGGAGTGCACCTAGTGATAGTTTTCAAACCTTTTTTCACAAATGTAGATATAAGTGGAATTTTATTTGAAAGTATCCTTAGTTTAAATCTTCATGGATCAAATTAAAATAATTCAATTAACTTATAGTTTTCCTATGCTAATAATTATGAGAACTATATTATATTGATGAAAATTAAAATATTTTTAAAGCCTTTATTATGTTGATTGTGTTAATAAATATTTAGGTACCTAAATTCATACAACACCTTAGATTATAAGAATTTTAAGATCACCTTTTAACAGGGTAAGAGATAAGTGTTTTATAATTTTAAAAATAAAAATAATTTTTACTATAAGCATCCGTTATAATTTTAATTTAATACTTTTATTGAGTAGGTACACAATGTAAGAAAATGTAGTGTCATAATTTAAATCTAAATATTAATAAATACCTCATTCCTTCCGTAGAACGATTTCTTAAGTTTTTGACTAGTTGAGGAACACCCAACATGGCTTCAGTTAGGAGAGCAAGAAATCCGATAATTTCAATGAATATAACATTATGCAGAAATATGAATGTTATAATGGAAAGACAAATACTCATAGCGATTAAAAAATCTATATAAGATTGAAAGTCTGTCCATTGCCAAAAGTAATGCCAGTCAAAATCTATAAAGAATTATAAAAAAAATTATTTACTTTATATGGATATCAAATAATTTATAAAAAAATTAAAAAGGCTAAAAAAATATTATACAAAGTATACCAGTAAAATATCTGTCTGGTCCTCTGATTAACTGTGTTTTGTTGCGAACTTTTACACATAAGTGTATCATAAGTAACATCATAATATTCATTACAATACTTTGGAATAGTAATGGAAGCTCATAACGTTTACCAAACCTATAATTAAGTTATATAATTTTAAGTAAGTGTTTTCAAATAATTATTAAGCAATTAACACTTACCAAAATAATATTCTCAAAGTGTTTGCAACTAAAAGTGCAAGGCATACATACATTGAGAAGCCTTCTGCATCTTGTTTGATGTATATTTCTCGATATTGTGGAATGTATGGAACTACTCCTCCAAATACCATGATTGTCGAACAACACCATCGTGTTACTTTTCGAATGGTAATGTCTCTCACTTCTTCCACAACTGGTTCCATATTGATGGGTCAAATTATTCACTTTATGTTTGGAATTCACCTTGACGATTTCCATACTAATGAATAAAATTAATTATTAGTAATAAAATTAAGATTATTCAAAGTATATAATATTAAGAGGATATCATCGCACTATTTGTTTTTCTTCTGAAGCACATAGCAAATTAGCATTCAGCAGAACCATCCTAGTGTTTTCAAGCTAGAAACGAGAGAGAATCAACCTATTATCAAGCTTAAAGTATGAAAAATAAATGTAAATTTTAAATATTGTAAACAATTCAATGTACAGGCATAGATAAAAAATTATATTTATTCTGAACTCTAAATTTGAAGATAGGAAAATTCACTCTAAAACTAATATAATAATAATAATACTAATGAGTAATGCTAATATCACAAGGTAGGTTCTACTGAACATAAATTTGCTATTTGCGTGGGTCAAAAAAAGAAAACAAATAGTACAGTGATATCCTCTTAACACAGTTTCTTAAGATTTGTATTAAACTAAGTATAAATTTAAATAATTTGTTGAACTAAGAAGTACATTGTGTTTGAAATAAATGTAAAACTCTTTCACATTGATAAAAACACAAAATTATTTTATAATACGGACAAAATAACAGACACTCATTAAAATGCTTAGGAACTCGCTGTTTGATTTTCTAATAAACTATGGAATGAGGTGATTATGCCTAATGCAATTAATAATTCAAATTTTTAGGATTTATTATTAAATATTTATATTCCTATAGATACAGATCTTTCTTAGAAAATATTTTAATAGAAGAAAATATGTAAGCTTGATAACTGAACCACTTGTCAGTTGTCATATTATAACATAGTGTTATTTTATATTTATGCATACACATATGCATTGTATAAATAATAAAAGATGGACTATATTATTATGACTGATTTAAATATATATTTAGATAATTCAATTTTAATTATTAATTTTAGTGTTGAAAAATACCGAACACATTTAATAATGACAACTAGTAGAATGTATTTTAACAAAACAACCAAAAAAATATATATTGACAAATTACTAGGCATATAGTTACGATAAAATCGTATCATAGATTAATAATGCAATTACATATAATTTACATTACAATAAGTATATGAATATTAACATTACTCACAGGAAAATTAAGAAGACAAATACATTTTATAAAGGAAAAAATCAATAACATTTTTAAAACCCAAATCAAACATTGATTTAAAATTATTACAAAACCCGTTGTTTGTTTAAAAAAGTTAATAAAAAACTATCCTTGAAAATATTGTTTAAATTATATAATATATAGGTACAAAATGATTAAACTCGATAATTAATAAAATACTAGTCAATTAAATACAAGGACAAAATATTAGTCAATATTGTACTGAGAACATATTAAGGAGTAAATTTAAGATTTAATAGTCAATCTGTGAAAATTAATTTAGAAACTGAGTTTGATGTTTTGTGTTCCCTGATCAACTTAATAGAAATAAGAACACAACCAACTAAATCCTATAGAGCATTAAACATAGGTACTAAAATAATTTATTACAAAAAAAAATTAATTAAAAAAATATTAATAAATATTCTTATATTCAGGCATATAAATTATTTTTATTAACTGTTATGATAATAACAATGTTCCAAAATAAAATATAAACTATCTAGTTAACTTCTGAATATTATAACATACCAGAGAAGTATTCTGATAATTGTATTGTATAATTAGCATGAAACTATTAGCCTTTTGATTTAAAAAAATGGAAAAACTTTGTGAAACCTATTGTGATTTATAGTGAATTTATAATAGGTAAGGAAGTTGGTGATCTAAAAAACATTGAATAATTACTCAATATTTTTTAAAAATGTTCTAAAAGAAAGTCAATATACCAACAATGAAAAAAAACAATTTATTTTATTTTATAAATCAATACTCTTTACATTAAATAGGTAGTAAAATACAAAAAATTGGTAATATAATAAAGTGTTTATGAAAAAGTTTTATCTTGTCAAATAAATAGTTTTAAAATTGAATTTAAATAATTTGAATGTAAAATTCAATATAAATCATAAAAAAAAATTGTATTGAATAGTTTAATTAAAAATGTCCTAAAATTACAAAAATGTTTAAGACATAAAAATTAAAAAAATAATGAATAAGTATTAAACACTGAGTCCTACCTATCATTAAAATATTTTCAAGATTTTTGTTTGAAGTATTTTTATAATATATTATATATTAAATAAAAAATATAATTAATATGGTTATATCTCAAATAACAGCAAATTATAAAAAAATGTAATATTAATTCAAAAATAGGGGATTCAACTTTGGATTTGCTAAGAAATCAATTTTAAGCACAAAGTTTACACATCATTACAAGATGACAAATACTTTGCTCTTTGTCTCTAGCCTGACCGTCCACAAAGATCTTGGCATTAGAACAATTGAAGGAGAAATAGCAATCTTTTATAAATGTTTATTTACTAGATTAGAAAACCACCAAAAGCCATTGATAAACAGCTTACAAATCCTTTCACTTCTTGGAAAGTTGTAGACTTAAAAAAAAATGGAGTTATGATCTTCTAATTTAAAAACAATTATTGTAGGTAATTTTATCTTAGTATTATTTTAGTAAATTTGTCTAGATATTTCTACTTAAAAAACACTCTAAATAAAATGAAAGAAAAGATTAAAATATAACACCCAACTTCAATTTATATTTAAAACTAGTGTATTTTTTTGTTAGTACAATATTAAGAAGTTTTATCGTCAAGGCACCCGGTACCGATGCCATTTTGTCCTCAAAAATACACTCTTACCGCCTTGTAGAATCAACCAAATTTCATAACTTTTTTTTTTGCTAGAGGGTAATATTTTACAGCCCGCATAGATTTCTAGTTTTCAATATTTTATTCTCAAACTTAATAATATGTCTAAAAAAATACAAGATAAAAAGCATTTTTTTTACAAATTTTTTATTACTATTATTTGAAATAAAATACAAAATCAGAGAAGTGCGGTCTGTAGGAAATCTTCTTCTTTTAGATAGAAAAACAGTCATCAAAATCCGACTATTATACAATGCTTGAGAGTTATTCCCGTAGTCATTTTTTTTTCGATATAATACACCCTATCAAGCCCCCCTAAATAGGTATCGGGTAGTAGATTAGTGGAAAAATCTTATAATTGAGATGGCAAGTAAAATATATAATTTTATAGAACTATGGAAAATTTGAAAAACTGGCACCAGGACCCTTAAATTGAAACAATATATTTTATTGGGTACTACATAGCTTTTCATCTTTATTCCAAATTTCACTCTCAATATATTCTTTAGAAATTATAGTTTTTTGAGCCTTACCTATAAGTAATTCACTTTTAAAGGCTAGGTTTTCAAAATACAAAATTATTTTTCTCTTTAATTTTGATAAAAAGTTTTGTCCTAAAACTGCTTTGAAGTGATTTATTTTTAATTTAAGCAAAGATGTTTTTGGTATATAAAAAAAAAATACTTAACTTATTAAATAATTTTGGTTCAAGATTTCAGAATGGAATACGGTTTGGGTGTAACAAAAATGTAATATTTTTTCCAGAAACCTTGGAATATCATATAGCACCAGCAGATAGAAAAAAATCAACATCAAACAATAGTAAAATTTCAACTTTCAAGGTCACTTAAGCAAGTAGGTTCATTATTTTATTTTTAATGTAATATCATTAAGAATTTATGTATGTATATATTTATTCATTATTATCATTTAACTTTATAAGCTCATAATTTATGAGTCATTAACAATTGATTTGGGGATGATATTTATACTGAATTATATTTTAAATATTAATTAAAACTAATTCTTTAATTTTTAATAATTTATTCATGTGATAATGAACTTTTTATTGTAATTATTAATATATTTACAATATTTAAGTCATTTTTGAATACAAATTAAATTAATATCTAAATTAAAAAAACAACAAGAAAGACTATCCAGTAATAGAAACTTTTACAGCCTATGGTTATTAGAAGTCAGAACTGAGTTTATTAGTTTAAGTAATAAGAATAAATCTTCAATATCTTCTTCTACAAACTACATTTGGACAGTAACAAATACATTTTAGTACATAGTCGGGGTTGTGAATAGTGAATAATTGGGACAATAGTAATTACTAGTAAGTAAATCAACAATAGAAAAATAAAATTATTGTGAGTTGAATTACGAAGAGATATATAGTCAAACAGACTAGATTTTTCGTTACGGTCAGCCTTTATAGTGCAGGCAAACCATTTTTGGGTTCAAATATGTTTGTCCGGGTGCATATCAATGGTAACAATTGTTACTTGCCACTATAACATAATGTATTGATATGTTTTTGCTTTTTAATTTGGTGACAATTATTTTTGATAGTAGAAAAATCTCAAAATGTTTCATGCATCTCTTTAGTATATTAATATATTCCTACAGTAAAGGTACCTCAAGGAATTCATTTTTAATACTCAAATATGAAACACAAAAAAATTAGCACAGAAAATAATCAATATATTATTATTATTATTATTATATTCATTATGTGTTGATGTGCTGTAGTAGCCTGTAGAAAGTTGACCAAACTTGCATCTATGTAATACACTTAATCAAATATTTATATTTAATTTTTTTTGCATTAATTTACATTTATATATTAAAATAATATTATAATGTATATAAAATATACATTTTAATTATTTTAATTAGTAACCTAATTTTAGAAAAATATTTTGTGGATTACTGTTTTTTTGAAATGGTTAATTTACCGTTTATTACTATACAAATTGTTTAGTCTACTTAGCTAAGTCTTAATACGAAAAACATTACTATTTATCAAATATAATTGTTTTACTTTATTTATTTAAAAATTATTTTTTCCTCAGATTACTACCTATTTGATTTCTTAGTGCTCACAGTTTATTATAAACTCAATTTTAAATTAATATTTGATTAGGTAGGTAGTACT